CAGCCAATGGAACGAGGCGGCTCTGCACCACCAGTTCCGCATTGGGTTAGCTGAATCACTGAAGGACGAATTGGCCCGAATAGACATACCTAGTACTTTGGAGGCCCTAATAGCATTGACTATTCGAATTGACCGCCGGTTGCGGGAGCGCAGGCAGGAAAAGTGCAACCAAGGACGAGGACCAACTGAAACACCCCCTCAGGCTTCAACCCAGTTCCAGTCGGCAAGCCAGAATCAGGATGCTATGGATACACCCAAGACCGGGCCACCGGGAAGGACACGGCTGACACTTACACCTGAGGAACGCCAGAGGCATCTTACCAACCATCTCTGTCTATACTGTGGGGGAGCAGGCCATGTGGTACGTACCTGTCCAGCCAAGGGGGTAAGTGTTCCGCTGTTTTTTCTACGGTCAATTCTACCAGTGTGGGCAACACTAGTTATCTAGCGGTACCTGTGTCACTTCAGCTGCCGGGGAGAACGGTGGTGACCACAGCAATTGTGGATTCTGGGGCGTGTAGTTGCTTCATAAATTTGGACTTTGCAGTTCAGCAACGAATCCCCCTACAAGCTAAGGAGGTGGGATTGAATATTTTCCTGGCAGATGGATCCCGTATTAAGTCAGGGGTGGTGGACCATGAAACCCCACCTATCCGTACCACTATATCGACCCATCATGAAGAAATCCTTCGGTTAGACGCCATAGCATCCCCATTATTTCCAATTATTTTGGGGCTCCCGTGGTTACGAGCCCATAATCCCCAGGTGGACTGGAAGATGGGTTCTATCCAGTTCCTCTCCACATACTGCCAGCAGCATTGCCTCCCTAAGACCTCCCCGATTCCGGAGACCTTGTTGTGTCTAGAGACAGATGTGGAACTGGCGCAAGTCATTCCTTCGGCCTACCATAGTTTTTTGGATGTGTTTAGCAAGCGGGGGGCGGACACTCTCCCCCCGCACCGAGGTTATGACTGCCCAATTGATCTCCTCCCAGGGTCGGAGATTCCATTTGGGCGGATATTCCCCTTATCCGAGCGGGAGTTAGGGGTACTGAGAGAATATATCGATGAAAACCTCCATAAGGGGTTTATTTAGACCCTCCACGTCGCCAGCTGGGGCGGGCATTTTCTTTGTGGAAAAAAAGGACAAGTCCCTCCGGCCCTGCGTAGATTACCGGGACTTGAATAAAGTCACGGTGAAGAACCGTTACCCGCTACCACTAGTCCCCGAACTTTTTCAGAGGTTGAAGTCAGCATCTGTCTTCACTAAACTAGACTTGAGAGGTGCCTATAATTTAGTCCGTATCAGAGAGGGGGACGAGTGGAAAACAGCATTCCGTACCAGATTCGGACACTATGAATATTTGGTTATGCCCTTCGGCCTATGCAACGCTCCAGCCACCTTCCAGCATTTCATAAATGATGTGTTCAGGGACTATCTGGATGTCTTCGTCATTGTATACCTAGACGATATCCTTATCTTTTCCCCAACCTTGGAGGACCATAGGGGTCATGTGAAGCGCCTGTTAGAACGGCTCCGCCAACACAGCTTGTATGCCAAGGCAGACAAGTGCTGTTTTGAACAGAGTAGTATTTCATTTCTGGGCCTAACCATCTCTCCCACGGGAATAGCCATGGATCCCCAAAAGGTTTCGGCCATCTTAGACTGGCCAGCACCCACCGATAAGAAAGCGGTCCAACGCTTTATTGGCTTTGCGAACTTTTATAGGAAGTTCATTAAGAACTTTTCGGGCCTAGTATCCCCTATCACCCAGCTGACCAGGCAGGGGGTCCGCTTCCAGTGGACGCCTGAGGCACAGAGGGCATTCGAAGCTTTAAAAGAGTTGTTTACGGTAGCTCCTATTTTGAGCCACCCTGATTCGTCCTTGCCATATATCTTGGAGGTAGACGCATCCGAGAATGTGGTCGGGGCGATCCTGTCCCAGAGGAAGGGCATCAAAGAGCTTGTGCACCCGGTGGCTTTCTTCTCCAGGAAACTAACTCCTGCTGAAAGGAATTATGATATCGGGGATCGGGAACTCTTGGCGATCAAGGTGGCACTAGAGGAATGGAGATACCTGTTAGAGGGGGCGGTACACCCGATATTGATTTTCACGGATCACAAGAACCTAGAGTATTTGAGAACAGCTAAACGTCTGAGGCCACGTCAGGCCAGGTGGGCACTGTTCTTTTCACGGTTCTTTTTCCATATAACTTATAGGCCAGGGTCTAAGAATACGAAACCTGATGCGCTCTCCCGCATGTTTGGGGACCCCGAAGAGAGTCCCAAGCCGGACACTATCCTGTCCCCAGGGAATTTCCTAGCCCTCCAATCGGAGCTTCATTCTCAATTGCAGACCGCATCCGTAGGTATGCAAGGCCCACCCGGTGTCCCCTTACTAAATAGGGAGGGACTCCTCTGGAAGGAGGATCAGATTGTGGTCCCTGAGGAAGCCCGTACATTGGTATTGGGATACTGCCATGATCACCCACTGGCCGGGCACTTTGGGGTACGTAAGACCTTGGAGCTGTTGCAGCGTACCTTCTGGTGGCCTAATATGGCCAGAGAGTGCGAAACTTACGTAAAAACCTGTCCCGTTTGTCAGAGGAACAAGCCTACTAGGAATAAGGCTTGGGGTCTCTTGCGTCCATTACCAATACCCGACAGACCATGAACAATGATTTCCATTGACTTTATTGTGGAACTTCCACCCTCTCAGGACCACACAGCAATCTTCGTGATTGTAGACCACCTGTCCAAGATGGCCCATTTTGTACCTCTAAAGGACACACCTACGGCCCTTGAGACAGCACGTGTGTTTATTAAAGAAGTGGTAAGACTCCACGGAATTCCCAGGGATATTGTATCTGACAGAGGGGTTCAGTTTACAGTTTAAATGGTAGCTTGTAAAGGCATTTAAAGAGTTGCCTATGGATATTAAAAATGAATGCAGTTTGTCACCATTGCATGGGGCATGTGCAGTTTTAAAGCATGTCATGTTTGGTATCTATTTACTCGGCATACCACCATCTTTTATATTTTACCAAATAATTGTTTTTGTGCATTAAAAGTAAAAAAAGTGTATTTTTTTTCAAAAAATTTTGTGTTTGAGTACTATGTGACATAAAAAATTGCAGCACCCACCATTTTATTCACTAGGGTGTCTGCTTTAAAAAAAATATAATGTTTGGGGGTTCAAAGTTATTTCCTAGCAGAAAATACAGATTTTTTTTCATGTGAACAAAAAGTGTCAGAAAAGGCTTGGTATACAGGTGGTTAGAAGAGTGAATGGTGATTGGCATAAACTTCTGATGCTGGGCATAACATGCCCCCACCCCCCAAAATGACCCCTTTTTGGAAAGTAGACACCTTAAACTCTTTGCTAAGAGGCATGTTGAGTCAATAGAAGAATTTATTTTTTTACCACAAGTTTTTGGAAAATGACAGAATTTTTTTTTTCTTTTACACAAAATTGTCATTTAAATAATTTATTGCTCACACATGCCATAGGTATATGTGGAATTACTCCCCAAAATACATTCTGCTACTTCTCCCACGTATGGGGGTACCACATGTGAGAGACTTTTTGGCAGTCTAGCCAAGTACAGGACCCCAAAATCCAATAAGCACCTTCAAGATTTTAAAGGGCTTTATTTCATCATTACACTTCCTGACTACCTATCACAGTTTCGGAGGCCCTGCAATGCCAGGATAGCACCAAACCCCCCCAACTGACCCCTTTTTGCAAAGTAGACACCACAAGGAATTTGATAAGAAGCATGGTGAGTATTTTGCAGATCTTGTTTGTTGCCACAAGTTTTTGGAAAATGAAGAAAGAAAACAAAAACATTTTTTTTCTTTTTTTATATTTCAAAACCTTGTGAGAAAAAATGAGATCTGCAAAATACTCACCATGCCTCTTTTTAAATTCCTTGGGATATCTACTATCCAAAAAGTGGTCAATTGGGGGGGGGGGGGTTGGTGCTATCCTGACATTTCAGGACCTCCGAATCTGTGATAGATAGTGAGGAAGTGAAATGAGGAAGTTACGGACCTTCAGGCTTTCAAAGTGGTCATTGGATTTCAGGCTCCTGTATGTGGCTAGGCTCCCAAAAAGTCTCACACATGTAGTATCCCCATTCTCGGTAGAAGTAGCAGAATGTATTTTGGGGTATAATTTCACATATTCCCATGGCTTGTGTGAGAAATATATAATTTAAATGACAACTTTGTGTTAAAAAAATTTTTTTGTCATTTTCCAAAAACTTGTGGAAAAAAAAAATCTTCCATGGACTCAATATGCCTATCAGCAGATAGCTTAAGGTGTCTGCTTTCTGAAAAGGAGTCATTTGGGGGTTTATGTACCATCCTGGTATTTTAGCACCTAAAGAAATGTGATGGGCAGTCAGAAATGTAAAGCTGTGTAAATTCCATTATCTATACCATAGTTTGTAGATGCTATAACTTTCACACAAAGCAATCAGTATACTCTTATTGGGATTTTTTTAACCAAACACATGTGGCAGAATACATTTTGGCCTAACTTTATGATAAAATTTGAGTTTTTTGGATATTTTTTATAACAGAAATAAGAAAATATCGTTTTTTTTAAACTTTTTAAAAAAATTTTGTTTATAGCGCCAAAAAAAAAAAATCATACAGGTGATCAAATATCATCAAAAGAAAGCTATATTTGTGTAAAAAAAAGGCCGTAAGTTTCATTTATTTATCATATTGCATGACCGCACATTTGTCAGTAGTGCAGCGCTGTATAGCAAACACTGGCATAAATTGCAGTATCTATACCATAGTTTGTAGACGCTATAACTTTCACACAAAGCAATCAATATACATTTTGTGGGATTTGTTTTACCAAAACATGTAGCAGAATACATTTTGGCCTAAATGTATAACTAACTTTGAGTTTACTATATATTTTTTATAGCTGAAAGTAAAAAATATCATTTTTCTTCAAAATTTTTGGTCTTTTGTTTATAGCGTAAAAAATAATAACCGCACATGTGATCAAATACCACCAAAAGAAAGCTCTATTTGTGTGAAAAAAAGGATGTAAATTTTGTTTGGGTGAAGCATTGCATGACTGCGCAATTATCAGCTGAAATAGTGCAGAGCCGAATAGCAAAAAGAAGCCTGGTCATTAAGGGGGGTAAATCCTCAGGATGGCAAGTGCTTATAGCGAAGGAAAAAAAGGTTGAAAAAAATAATGCAGCCACCACAACTAAGGAATTTTAAGCCGCAATTTATTATATTCCTGATCTTGGGTTTAGATATGCCGTAAAGGTGATAGAGGTGATAAGAGAAATAGATACATTTGCTTAAATTACCAAAATTGCCTACCACCATCATATACAGTGGGGAAATAATTATTTGATCCCCTGCAGATTTTGTAAGTTTGTCCACTTACAAAGAAATGAAGGGTCTATAATTTTATCATAGGTGTATTTTAAATGATAGAGACAGAATAGCAACCAAAAATCCCCAAAAAAACACGATACAAATGTTATAAATTAAGTAGCAGTTCAGTGAGTAAAACAAGTATTTGATCCCCAAGCAAAACACAACTTGATACTTGGTGGAGAAACCCTTGTTGGCAAGCACAGAGGTAAGATGTTTCTTATAGTTGGTTATCAGGTTTGCACACATCTCAGGAGGGATTTTGGTCCTCTTCACTGTAAAGAATTACAGATCTTCTCTAGATCTTTAAGGTTTCTTGGATGTCGCTTGGCAACTTAAAGTTTCAGCTCCCTCCATAAATTTTCTATAGGATTAAAGTCTGGAGACTGGCTAGGCCACTCCATGACCTTAATGTGCTTCTTCTAGAGCCACTCCTTTGTTGCCTTGAAGGTATGTTTTGGGTCATTGTCATGCTGGGAGACCCATCCACCATCCATCTTCAGTGTTGGCTGAGGGAATAAGGTTCTCATTCAAGATTTTACAATACATGGCCCGTCCATTGGCCCCTCAATGCAGCAAAGTCGTCCTGTACCTTTAGCAGAGTAAAAACCCAAAGCATATTGTTTCCACCTCCATGCTTGACTGTAGGGATGGTGTTCTTAGGGTCATAGTCAGCATTTTTCTTCCTCCAAATACAGCGATTAGAGTTAATGCCAAAGAGCTCAATTTAAGTCTTATCTGACCCCAGCACTTTCTCCCAATCCTTCTCTGAATAATTTAGATATTCATTGGCAAATTTCAGATGGGCCTTCTTGAGGAGGGGGACCTTGAGGGCACTGCAGGATTTCAATCCATGGCAATGTATTGTTATACCAATCGTTTGTTTGGTGACTGTGATTCCAACTGCCTTGAGATCATTCACAAGTTCCTCCCTTGTACTTCTGGGTTGATCCTTCACTTTTCTCATGGTCATCCTTACCTCATGAGGCAAAGTCTTGCATGGAGCTCCAGATCGAGGGCAATTGATGGCTATTTTGCATTTCCTCCATTTACGAATAATCGCTCCAGCAGTTTTCTCCTTCTCACCAAGCTTCTTGCTGATGGTCTTGTAGCTCAGTCCAGCCTTGTGTAGGGCTACAATCTTGTCCCTGACGTCATTTGGCAGTTCTTTGATCTTGCCCATGATGGTGAGGAAGAAGGAGATTTTGTCGACAGGTGTCTTTTATACACATAACGAATTGTCATTAGGAACACCTTCTTAAATTGACAGGACTAATCTGTGTACCACATGAGCACATAGCCAGTCTGTGGGAGCCAACATTATTGCTGGTTTGTAGAGGATCAAAATACTTATTTTACTCACTGAACTGCAACTCAATTATTATTATTATACAGTATTTATAAAGCCTGAGATGGAGATGGAAAGGTGAATGAGTCTGGCAGCCGTATTCAGGATCGACTGAAGCGGGGATAGCCAGCGGTGAGGCAGGCCAGTGAGGAGGGAGTTGCAGTAGTCGAGTTGTGATATGATGAGGGAGTGGATGAGCTGTTTAATGGTTTCTGGGTTAGGAACTGCGTATTTTGGCGATGTTGCGGAGGTGGAGTCTGCATGAGTTTGTTAAAGACTGGACTGATAGGTTGGAGTTTGTTAAAGACTGGACTGGAAGGATAGGTTGGAGTCCAGAATGACACCAAGTACTCTGGCCTGCGGGGCGGGTTTGATGGTGGCGTTGTTGGATGTGATGGAGAAGTCAATGGAGGGTGGTGTCCGGGCTGGGGGGAAGACAAGAAACTCTGTTTTGGAGAGGTTCAGTTTAAGGAAGTGGAGCGACATCCAGTCAGATATGTAGCTCAGTAGGTGTGTGATTCGGGCGGAGACTGAGGTAGTGAGGTGGGGGGGTTGATAGATTTGTGTGTCGTCGACATATAGGTGGTAGTTGAAGCCATGAGAGTGTATGAGTTGGCCAAGGGAGGAGGTGTAGATGGAGAAGAGAAGGGGCCCGAGGATGGAGCCTTGAGGGACCCCAACAGAGAGGGGGAGTGAGGAGGAGGTGGTAGGTAGCATTATAGGTAACGCTGAAAGAGCGTTGCGACAGGTAGGATGAGAGCCAGGAGAGAGCAGAATCTCTAAGGCCGAGGGAGTGTATTTTTTGAGGAGGAGGGGGTGGTCGACTGTGTTGAAGGCCGCAGAGAGGTCAAGGAGTAGGAGCACTGAATAGTGGCCATTAGCTTTGGCGGTTAGCAGGTCGTTGGAGAGTTTGAGTAAGGCAGTTTCGGTGGAGTGTAGGGGACGGAAGCCATACTGTAGGGGATCGAGGAGGTTGTTGTCGTTGAGGTGAGAGCTTAGGCGGGTGTAGACTAGGCGCTCGAGGAGTTTGGATGTAAATAGGAGCAGGGTGTTGTTTGGTGTTGTTCTGAGTTTGTTCGGGTCATTGGGGTCCAGGGAGGGCTTTTTAAGTATGGAGGTGATGTGTGCATGTTTCAGAGGGGAGGGGAAAGTTCCAGAGGAGAGGGAGAAATTAAAGATGTGGGTGAGGGAGCGTAGGATGGAGGGGGAGGGAGGTCGTAGGAGTTGTGAGGGGATAGGGTCGAGGTGGCAGGTGGTGAGGCGGGCATCAGAGAGGATCTTGGAGACTTCCTCGATGGTAGTAAGGTCAAAGGTGTGAAGTGTTGGGGGGGGCTTCAGTATGAGGAATGTAGGGAGGGGTGGAAGTGGAGGTCAGAGCAGTGGTGGGGCCATGGGAGAGGGGTGATGAGGGGATAGCTGAGTAAGGGGGAACGGGGTTGGAGGGAGTTTGAGCAGCGACGAAGTCCCTGTGGGTTATGTCGAGGGAGAGGGGGGATGAGGGGGGTAGCAGTGTGAGAGGGGACAGGTTGAGAGGGCGTGTGAGTTGCGGCGATGTCCTTGCGAATTGTGTCATAACATTATAATATTATAACATTTGTATCATGTGTTTTTTCTGGATTTTTGGTTGATATGCTGTATCTATCATTTAAAATACACCTGTGATAAAATTATAGATCTTTCTCTTCTTTGTAAGTGGGAAAACTTACAAAATATGCAGGAGATCAAAAAACTATTTCCCCACTGTGTTAAGCATACAAACCGTCCTCAGTTTGCATAAGATTCATTTCCCTTATCTCCAAAAGAACCATATAAAGAAATAACTCATTATACTACAACAGAATATTAAAAGAACACTTGTCAAGATGGAAGGGTGAATGTTCTTGTTTTGAATCCTTCTACATGAAAAGATACAAGAGTCTTCTATTTTCTTATGTCTTTCACACTGCTCTGTGGAATCCTAATTAATTCAAAAATTTCCCATACTTTTAGCATATATATAAAGCACCCATTCCCAGCCAACATGTGCTGTAGGCAAAGTGTGTCAACATTTGTGAATGCAGAGAACATTATATGTTGATATGTCATTGCTCTGAGACCCAGAGTGTAAATTTTAGCACAAGTGTTCTTAAAAGATTTCTTTTAGCAGCAGATCACGGCAAAATTTGGATCCCAGCTCACAGGTAAGCATATTCAACTCTACACCAAAATTGAGTAAATGACCCACAAACTATGAACATGGAGCCTGTGTTTATGGCTTTTGTTTGTATCACTAATCAGTGCCTTTGCAAATATTTTAACTGCAGGCATATCTTATGTTAAAAACAAAATTTGAAGTTATAAATATAAATCTGCATAATTATCTTTTTATTGCCTTTCTTCATATCCACAATTAAACCACATATTACACCATTAAACTATATTCACTTTTATTGCTTTATTTCATGCAAATAAATTGACATTACCACTTTGTAGATCTTAAGATAGGTTTGTTCACGACTTTGAAGATAATTACATAGGAAACTGAAATTAGATTTTTCTTTAGAACTTTGAAATAACCTCATTTTTTTCCGTTGAACCACTTTTCTCAGATCTGTACTGTAACTTCTCATTTAATGTATAATTAAAATAACACTTGTTTCAGTGTGAACAAAAAATTCATTTTCAACACACCAATGTGACTTCTTTTTTTTAATTTCCTTTTGTTTTTAAATATGTTGTTGATGGTGTAAAATTGTATATATATATTCAAAGCATTTATATTTTAATTCTAAGTGGCTTTCATCTTGGACGTATACTATCAGTGAATAAAAACATAGATAAAAACATGGATAAAAATGTAGATCTTACCCATCTAGCTTTCTATTTTTATCATATCACACAATTTATCAAGCCCAGTGTCAGAGTCCTTGCATCTCTCACAATGATCCTTTGTGGTATATGAGTGCTGAATCTTATGAAAATATTTGTTATAACATGATGGGTGGTTTGTAGCCCTAGAGGCTGCTTATCAGCAATTGTGGAGTCCACACCAGCCTCTTACGTACTTTGAAATATTTTTATTCCACAATAGCAAAAGAGTCCCAGGGGCTCAGCTCTCCCCCTTCATCAGGGCTAAAAGCAGCTAGCCAGTAAAAACAAAAATACACTGTCTAACAATTTACTATAAAATGTTTTAGTTACACAACATTTGGAAGCCACACTGCCTCCTCAAGGCCCCTTTCACACAATGATAACACTGCTTGAAATGAGGATACAAGATAATCTTGTATAATAAGCTATATGTGATATACATGGTTTATCATATTCATAAATGTGAGTTCCTCCCACCATTCATGTAGAAGAAATGTATTTTCCAATTTTAAAAAGAGCTTCATGTTAAAAAAAAAACTGCTCAAAGGTATAAAGTACAGTGCTTGCACATACCCACAGTGCCTCCCAAACCCTCCCTTAATTGCCAAACCCTGGCCAGTTCTGAATTGCTGAATAAGGGCAGAGCTATTCCCCTAAAAAATAAACAAAAAAAATAACCAGGAAAATATATTCAAATAAAGTCCATGCAATTTTGGTGCAAACGTGCTTGTCATAAATAGTCCTCATCCACAATAAACTTGCAGCTAACTTTTTCTGTGCATAAATAGTACAACCTGATCTCCCAAAACCTCTTCAGATGTGTAATACCTCATGTCCATCACCAAGTCACACTCTGAGGCTTATCAGAAGGTATATGACTCCCATATAAGAAGACAGTCTGCACTTGTTACAAAGAGTGGCATGATGGCACTCCAGGGCTTACATCTCCACTTATACTACAAGGACAGTGCATCATATACAGAAATAAAGAAAAGAGCATACATGTTCCTAATAATGTAACTCAGAGTAAAAGGATTTATTAAAACAGTTATAAACACTCACATTGGTAGACAATGGTATAATAAAATCATCACATTTGGAAGAATGCATTGCCGGCTTTCCATCTCTTCTTACCATGTTGTGTTTGGGTGTAGGAAGACACTGTGCACCATCTGCTCACTGCCTTGGAGAATTTGTCCAGGTGTTTCACCTCAACCCAGCGAATTGGCTATGGGGTACACACCTTAACTATGAATCATGGTGACAAATTCCTATCAGTAGGTTTCAAATAGGTGCTTGTGTCTAAAAACCCATTGTTGATTTTAATTCTTAGATGTACAAAACGTAGCTCCATGTGCTTCTGTGCACCTAATGACGTCATATCTAACGAAATGCATAGG